CCCACCCTACCCCTACATGCTCCAGACAGACCCTGAGCACCACACGCGCCTACGCCCTCTGCACCCCCACCCTACCCACATGTTCTCCAGACAGTCCCCCCGAGCACCACACGCTCTCTGCCACCCCCACTTCCCCTCCATGCTCCAGACAGACCCTGAGCACCATATTCTCTCTGCACCCCAGCACCCTATCCCACCCCCGTGCTCCAGACAGCCTCCCTGTGCCCCATATGCTCTCTGAACCCCCCCATCCCCACGTGCTCCAGATAGCCCCCCCCCGAGCGCCACACGTTCTCTGCCACCCCCATCCCACCCCTAGGAGCTCCAGACACTCCCCCAGTGTCTGCCATCATTACCTCCCAAATACACACCCAGGGGCTGATGCTCCCACCACCAAACAGTCCTCCTCAGCCTCAGACGCCCATGCACCTCCCCCACTCCACATACATCCTCCTCCTCCTCTTCTACTTTCCTCATACACCCACGAGCCACCCATTGCTGCTACCACACCACCCTCCAGCTTCATACACTCACAACACCCTCCCCCCTCTCTGCGCCACCCCCAGACACCTCCCCCCTCTATCCCCCACCTACTCCCCGGGACGCCTCCTCCCAGCCTTCCCCAACATGCCCAGTGCCAATACCTTCTCTCCAATCTCCGTGAGGTCACCTCCAGGGAGCAGCTTCAGGTCTGGAAGGAGAGCACAGGCTTCCACAACCCGCTGGTACCTAGCCTCATCCAGTTCTGACCCAAAGAGAATGTTGTCCTTCAGCGTGGCGTTCTGGATCCAGGCCTGCTGGGGAACGTAGGCCACAGAGCCCTGGAGGGAAGAGCCCAATCACAGCTGCCTCATCCAGTCAGCGCAGGACTTGGGCCCTGGGCTAGGGGCTGGGGAAAGGAGGGATGGGGGAGATGGGCCCGGGGTGGGAGCAGTCACATCCTCTGTGCAGGGAACTAGACAAAGCCAAGATGAGGTTGTGACATGGCAGACCAGGTGCCAGCTCATGCCAAGGCCTCTAGGCCTCAACTGAACACCGACCAATACATCGCTAGACACCAGTCTGGCTCAGCTCTGTGTCAGCATTGTTCAAATAAAGATTAAGTGTATGAGAATGTGGTTAGACATTATGAAATGCTGGTAGGAGCTGCATGTAGTAATCTCACTTACAACATCTGTACCCCACATTATAAGGTTATATTGAGCATTTACTTTGTAATCCTCTGTAACTGTGTACCTTGCGAACCAGGAACAAAGCATTAACTAATGTAAGATGCTGGCTTCCCACGTGGTTAGGCCCTGCCCACCAAGAAAGCCCATTGAAA